AAAATGTACAGGACAGTGAGGGGAGGAAAACTGGGACTCAAATCAACGATTTGGAACAGAAGGAAGAGATAAACACTCAACTAGGACAGAATGAAGAAACAAGAATTCAGAAATATGAGGAGAGGCTTAGGAACCTCCAGGACTTCAAAAGTTCCAACATCTGAATCATAGAGGTGCCAGAAGGAGAAGAGGAAGACCAAGAAATTGAAAACTTATTCGAAAAAATAATAAAGGAGAATTTCCCTCATCTGGCAAAGGAAACAGACTTCCAGGAAGTCCAAGAAGCTCAGAGAGTCCAAAAAAAATTGAACCCAAGGAGGACCACACCAAGACACATCATAATTAAAATGTCAAAGGTTAAAGATAAAGAGAATCTTAAAAGCAGCAAGAGAAAAAGTTACTTACAAAGAAGTTCCCATCAGACTGTCAGATGATTTCTCAAAAGAAATCTTACAGGCAAGAAGGGACTGGAAAGAAATATTCAAAGTCCTGAAAGGCAAGGACCTACATCCAAGATTATCTAGCAAAGCTTTCATTTAGAATGGAAGGGCAGATAAAGTGCTTCCTAGATAAGGTAAAGTTAAAGGAGTTCATCATCACCAAGCTATTATCATACGAAGTGTTAAAGGGACTTATCTAAGAAAAAGAAGAGGATAAAAAATATGAACAGTACGTGGCTGGCGTAGCTCACTGGATTGAGTGTGGGCTGCAAACCAAAGGGTTGCTAGTTAGATTCCCAGTCAGGGCATATGCCTGGGTTGCAGGCCAGTCCCCAGTGGGGGCCATGTGAGAGGCAACCACGCATTGATATTTCTCTCCCTCTCTTTCTCCCTCCCTTCTCATCTCTCCAAAAATAAATAAATAAAATCTTAAAAAATATACGAACAGTAAAATGACAACAGAGTCACAATGATCAACAACTGAATTTAAAAAAAAAACAAACTAAGCAAACAACTACAATAGGAACAGAATCACAGAAATGGAGATCACATGAAGGGTTATCAGCAGGGAAGAGGAAGAGGAGGGAAGGGGAAAAAGGTACAGAGAATAAAAAGCATAAATGGTAAGTACAAAATAGTCAGGGGGAAGTTAAGAATAGTATAGGAAATGTAGAAGCCAAAGAACTTATATGTATGACCCATGGACATGAACTAAGGTAGAAGGAAGGTGGGTGGGAGGGGGTGTGCAGGATGGAGGTGAGTGAAGAGGGGAAAATGGGACAACTGTAATAGTGTAATCAATAAAATATATTTTTTAAAAAAGAAGAAAAATTGTATCTCTTCTATACACCAGCAATGAACAGTACAAAAATGAATTAAAGATTACAATTCCATTCACAATAGCATAAAAAACCCCAAAATACATTTAACAAAGTAAAAGGTTTGTACACTGAACACCACAATATTCTTGAAAGAGATTAAAAACCTAATCAATGGAAAGTCATCCCATGATCATCAATTAGAAGAAAATATTGTTCAGAAGACAATTCTCCCCAAATTAATTTATAGATTTGATTCAATCCTTATTGAAATTCTAGCTGCCTTTTTTTGAGAAACTGACAATATGAGCCTAAAATCTATATGGACATGCAAGAGACACAAAATACCCAAAATAATTTTAATAAATAAAGAACCAAACTGGAGCACTCACATTTTGTGATTTCGAAACAAACTACAAATCTACACCTGGCTGGTCTACCTCGGTGGATTGAGCTCGGGCCTGTAAAGCAAAGGGTTGCCGGTTAGATTCCCAGTCAGGGCACATGCCAGGGTTGCAGGCCAGGTCCCCAGTAGGGGACACATGAGAGGCAACCACACATTGATGTTCTTCTCCCTCTCTTTCTCCTTCCCTTCCCCTCTCTCTAAAAAATAAATAAGTAAAATATTTTTTTTTAATGTACGATAATCAAGAAAGTATGGTAGTAGCTTAAGGAGAGATGCACACATCAATGGAATAGAACTTAGAGCCCAGATTTTTGACAATGGTGTCAAGACAATGCCATGGGATAAATGACAACTCAAAGAATAGCATTTTCAAAGTGTGGTGCTGGGGTACAAGTGGATATTCACATGCAAAAAAATTAAGTTGGGCCCTTATTTTACTCCACATACTAAATTTAACTCAAAATGGATCAAACCTCTAATCATAAGAGCTAAAAACATTAAAACTTGCTAAGGAACATAGGGGAAGAGCTTTATGACATTGTATTAGGCAATGATTTCTTGGATCTGAGAGGAAAAGAATAAGCAACAAAGAAAAAAAGAAGTAAAAAAAATTTAAAAAAAAAAGAAAAAAAAGTAAAGTGAATTACATAAAAATTAAAAACTGTGCATCAAAGGACAGTTAGAGTGAAAGGCATCCTGAAGAACAGGAGAAAACATTTGCAAATCATATAAGGGTCAAATCCTTAAAGTCACCAGTAAAAACAGCCCATATAACCTGATTTAAAAACGGGAAAAGGACGTGAAGGCACATTTCTCCAAGGAAGTTATACAAATGGCCGACAAGCACATGAAAAGTTGCTCAGTGTCAAAAATCACTAGAGAACTGCAAATCACGACCACAACCAGGTATCACCCGACACCTACCAGAATGGCTTCTAGTTTTTGAAAAAACAAGTGATGGTGAGGATGGGAAGAAACTGGCACTCTTGAACACTTTTTTTCCTCTTGTACAATGTTCTCAAATGGTGCAGCTGCTGTGGATAACAATGTGACAGTTCCTCAAATATTAAAAATAGAATGGTAACCGTATATGATCCAGCTATTCCACTTGGAGTGTGTGCCCACAGAACTGAGAGCAGGGTCCTGAAGAGACAGGTGAACAGCCAGGTTGAGAGCAGCGTTCCTCACAGCAGCCAAGAGGAGGGAGTAACACGGGTGTCCAAGGATGAGTAAAAGGATAATAAAATGAGGTATATACATACTACAAAATATTATTCAGCTACAAACAGGAATGAAATTCGGACACACGGATGACTTTTAAGGATATTATGTAGTCAAAGGAGCCAGTTACAAAAGAACAAATACTGCCTGATGCCTCTTAGAGCAGGTTCCCAGAGTAGCCAAATTCAGAGACAGAAAGTCCATGGTGGCTGCCAAGGGCTGGGGAAGGAGGAAGCGGGGAGGAGTAACTTACCGGGAAAAGAGTTTCGTTGTTACAAGACGGAAAAGTTTTGGAGATCGGTTGCAAAACAGTATGAACATACTTAACATTACTGCACATGTTGGTAAAAATGATTAAGACGGTATATTTTACATAAGGTATATTTTTTATCACAGTTTTTAAAAGACTATCAAAAGGTGCTTAAACATGTTTAAAGAAATGTTATATGGTGAGATACCATCATTCATCAGACCTGAGATGACTTCTCATCTCTGTGACCCTGGACTTCCGAACCTCAACTCCTGCCTGCATCCCCCTCGCTGCTCACAGACAAACCTGATACTTGTCATTTAAGCCTATTTGGTACGTGCCAGGCTTTTCCAGACATAACCCGCAACCCTTTTCTGGGGAGGCAACAAACGCACAGCACGGCTTAGTGCCATTTCCCACGGTTGTGAGAGGAGTGGGCTGCTACTGGGTCCCATGGCCTGACCACCGCACCTCATGCCCCTCAAGGTCGCTCATCCTAACAGCCACCTGGGGAGCCCAGAAATTCAGATTTCCCTCAGAGATGAGCGGCTCTCTAGATATGGATGCATGTTGAGCGTGCAGGTCCTGGGATGAGCAAATTAACAGCTGACAAGATGAAATCAAACAGGATTGCCTGACTTGACAGACTAAGGGAGGCTTGATGAGGGTGGGTCTGGAATGGGAGGAAGGAGAAATGAAAATTGCTTACTGCAGGGCACATTCTGTGCCTGGGCACACTCAGTGCTTGCAGGCTATGCTGCCCGAGGACGGGGACTACTGGGGCCAGTCCAGGGTCCTGGAGCTGCTGTCCATCCAGGAGGGGCCAGTGCAGACACAGCTGAGTGCTCCCAGCAGCAAAGGCAGCCCAGGCAAGATGCCCAAAGGGGGAAGGGAGATGGGGCACCACAGGGACTTGGTGGGTCTGAGAGTGGGAGAGGGCATCTTTCTTTAGGAAGATCAGCCCTGCTCCTGTGGGGAAGAGCACTTGAATGGGAAGAAACTGGAGGAGGGAAGACCTGACCCCAAAGACAGAGTTAAGGGAAGTGAATTCTAGAAAGGTTTTTGGAGGGTCCCTGGCCAGGGCTTGGTGATCCACTGTGTGTGGGAATGGGGAGGGAGAGGACTGGGCCTTCGTACCAACTCCTGGTACTGCAGTGACTGAACTCAAAGAGAAACAGCTGTGATGGGTGGGGATTGGGGTGGCGGGCAGTCACGGACAGACAGGGGACTGTCATTTTTGCCAGGTGCCTCCCTTGATGCTCAGCGCCTGTCTGGTAGGCATTTGAACATGGTAGACTTTTATGGCATCCTTCCAGTTCAAGGGTCTCTGCTCTGGTTAGTTGGTTTGTCTGTTTCAGGGAGGAAGGTGATGATCTGGAGCATTAGTCCAGCTCTCAGAGAGAGCTGAGCCACCCAGGGACAGGATGGGGTGGAGGGAGGAAATGGTGTTTGAAAAATAGGGAAGGAAAAAGTCTGAGGGAGCAAAGCTGCTTAAAAACCACCACTCTTTCCAATTCTGTAGCATTTAAGTAAACAGGGTCCTGCTTGTGTTACATCACTTGATCCTTCGTCAGCTGATTTGGAGACCTCAGCTGAGCTGGACCACTGCTTTCCCCAGCACAGCAGGGATTCTAAGCTGCCCAGGGGACCAGGTGATCCAGGGTCTAAGGGCAGAGCGCTTGCTACACAGAATAAGGGTGCTGTGTGTCCCTGGCTCTTTTCAGGAAATAGGGACCTGACCTACTTAATTACATTTTTAAGGTAAAGCCCAGAGAGAAGGTGTGGGTGCAAGACAAGTTCTTGAACTTGGGAACAGTCCTGCAGGGCCCACCTCCTAACCCCCATCCCCTTCCCTGCCCTCCTAGACTGGGGTGAGTGAGCCCCCTTTGCCAGCCTCTTCGACCTCAGCCTCAGGGAGCCTCAGGACCCAGGCACTGAAGGAACAAGGTCTGACCCCATCTGTCACTGTGGAGGTGGGCAGACTGATACAGGGGGTGAAGGCAGCACCCTGCATGGGGCTCCGTCCACTCAGGCCTTGTTCTCCCGGACCACAGCCTCCTCTGCAGGGACAGAAGGACATGGCCTGGAAACCAACAGCACCTCTGCTGCTGCTGGCCTGGCTTTCAGCCGCCACGTGCAGTGCCCGAGATGGGACAGAGCTGCTCAACGTCTGCATGGACGCCAAACACCACAAGGCCAAGCCAGGCCCTGAGGACAAGCTGCATGACCAGGTATGGCTGGGCTGAGGCTCTGATTGGGGAGGGGCCTGCTTCTGACAGGGGAGAGGAAGTCAGGGTGGTGGGGGAAGGGCTGAGGGGTCAGACACCCACATTTGAGTTATGGCTGAGAAGATATAAATGTCGGGAGTGCTTAGGTGATTTTAGGGGTGGCCTCCTCAGAACAGGATACCATGTGAGCAATTATATGAAATAATCATCTATGGAGCACCTACTAGGTGTCCTGTGTTTTCTGTACGTGAATTGATTTTTCCAGGGTCCTTGGAGGTAGGTAGGTGACATTTTCCACACAACACAAATGAGGACACTGAGGCCAAGGAGAACATGGACACACAGAGGCACTGGCCATGAACAGCCCTGGTGGCCAGGCAGTGGCAGGCCTGGGGCAGACACCTCTGCGTTTGGGGAGGATGCTTTTCCTACTTCCCACTTTCTGCATGTGGCCTGTCCCATGCAGAGCTGAGGGGGAAGCACAGGGCCTCCTGGGCCTGTGACACGGGGCTCTGGCATGGTCCTTGCACACGGTCTGAAACATTTCTGCCACTTGGTTGCAACCGTGTTAGACTCCATGCCTCCTTTTCATGACAAATGTTGTTTAGACTCTCTTTTCTATCCTGGAATGACACGTGAAGCTAATAGAATCTATTTGCACGTTTAGTTTAAAAAATATCAACACAATCACCTGTCATGCAAAGGAGAAGCCAAAAGAAAGCACTTGATCATAAAACCCCCACATTTCAACATGCCAATTCCTGGTAGGGCTACATTAGAAGTCACTGTGAAATAGCATGTGTCTCTTATCCAAAAATCACTATGAATGGGGCAGCTACAAATGAAGGTCAACACAGTTGTATTCTACTGGCCACTTAAATTGTACAAGACACTCTGAGCAGTGTTGCCATTGCTGACACAATTCCCTAGCACAGTGGCTAACTCCGGCAATGCAAAACACACAGTACGGCCTCCCATGTCATGCTTTGGGTTTTGTGTTACCTGGAGAATCTGGTCTACGTTACATAAAAACCGTGCTCAAGTATGGAGTGTCTATAGGTGAGATGAAGTTCGGTTCAGATTAGAAAAGCATAAGTATGTCTTTAATTCACTGTTTTCAGCACATGTTTCTGTGCACCTGCTGTGTGTCCGGTCCTGGCCTAGGCACTGGCGGGGGGGGGGGGACACAGATCTTAATATTTGCCAAGAATACGGTTATTCAACAGTGTGTTACTGCGTCGCTCACTCTCTCTCCTCCTTTACTCAGAATGTCACCTTCCAATGGCGTTTCAAACCACCTCATCTAAAATCCCCACAGTCACCCATACTCCACACGCCCATTCCCTGCTGCAAATTTCCTCATGTAATTGACCATAGCCCTCCAATCATCTTTTTCTCTCTCGCTGTCCTACTGTCTGTCTCCCCTGACCAGAATGTAAGATCCATGAACACATATTTCTGTCTGTATTGTTGTCCGCTCTATTCAGTCTAGAACAGGGCTGGCATAGAATAGTTATTCAGTGAAATATATATTATATATAACATTTATTGTATATATGATATATGTTACATATAATATATATAATTTTTTAAATTTAGTTTTAGAGAGGTGGGGGTGGTGGGAGAAGGAGCAGGAGAGAAACATGGTGTGTGAGAAAAATACTGATTGGTTGCCTCCTGCACACACCCAACTGGGCATCTGGCCCGTAACCCAGGCATGTGCCCTGACTAGGAATCTAATTAGCATCCTTTAGGTTCACAGGCTGATGTTCGATCCACTGAGCCACACTAGCGAGGGCCTCAGTAATATATTTTTAATAAATACATCTAGAAATGTTTTATAAAGTGTTAATAGTTGTATAAATGTTAGTTCATTGTCCTCCCAAGTCGGGGTTTCTCCTAGGTTCCCACAAAACCCTGATCACACTGTTGTAATTGAGTGTCCCCAAGATGCAAATTCCTGGAGGCCAGGAAGAGAGGGGTCCTCACAGTGAGTGTTTCTAGGGCAGCCTTCCTGGGGCAGGAGAGCAAGAACTGAACGGGCAGAGACTAGGTGTGGCAGGAGTGTGTGGTGGGGGAAGGACTCAGTGCCGTGGCCACCCCTCCCAGTGCAGTCCCTGGAGGAAGAACGCCTGCTGCTCCCCCCAGCACCAGCCAGGAGCTGCACAAGGACTCCTCCCTCCTGTACAACTTTAACTGGGACCACTGTGGCAAGATGGAGCCCGCCTGCAAGCGCCACTTCATCCAGGACACCTGCCTGTATGAGTGCTCCCCCAACCTGGGGCCCTGGATCCAGCAGGTGCGGGTGCCTCCCTCACCCCAGCCCAGCAGGCTGCCCTCCAGCTCAGTCCAGCCTGTGGCTGCCAACCTGCCTGGCTGAGATGAGTTGTTTCCCTCCCACCTCCCACCCAGGTGAACCAGAGCTGGCGCAAAGAACGCTTCCTGAACGTGCCCCTGTGCAGAGAGGACTGTGAGAGCTGGTGGGAAGACTGCCGCACCTCCTACACCTGCAAGACCGACTGGCACAAGGGCTGGAACTGGACCTCAGGTGAGGGCCAGGCAGGTGGCAGATTGAGGAAGTGTTTTGACAAAGGCTGTTCCAAGATTGGGGGTTGTGTGAATATCTCTGGGGTAACCAGGGCCTGAACATGTGTCTCTCCTCTCTGCTCCTGCAGGATCTAACAAGTGTCCAGCTGAGGCTGTCTGCCGCACTTTCGAGTTCTACTTCCCCACACCTGTAGCCCTGTGTGAGGGCATCTGGAGTCACTCCTACAAAGTCAACAAGTACAGTCGAGGGAGTGGGCGCTGCATCCAGATGTGGTTTGACCCAGCGCAGGGCAATCCCAATGAGGAGGTAGCGAGGTTCTATGCCATGACCATGAATTCTAGGGCCCAGACCCATGGGATTGGGCCTCTCCTGCTCAGCCTGACCCTGATGCTCCAACTCTGCCTCCTTGGCTGAATCCAGCTCTTCTCGTATGCCCCTTCTGCCTGTGCCCAGCTTTGAGGTGCCGTTTCAGCTCAGCTCAGGTGCACAGATGAGGGAGCCCTAAGCATGGTTCCATCCATTACCCACCTGTCATCCAGTTCCCGTTCTATGGTGGGGCTTGGGGTTTCTCTGCCAGCCCGTTCTAATAAATAGACGGACATATTTGTGTCTGATGAGTTATTTTGGTTGTTAGTTTTGGGGTGGGCAGTGGAGAGACTCCCTAGCATTTGGATTCCTTCGGATTAGAGAAATGAAACCTGGGTTTCAAACTTAGCTCAGCTACTCTCTATGTGAAAGGGCACAGTTGTTTGACTGTTCTCAACCTTGGTTTCTTCCTCATTAAAACGGGGCTAATAACCCTTCCTCTTCTCAGGGTTGTGAAATATAAAGGACCTGTTGCCTAGAAAGTACGTGAGTCCAGTGTCTGCACATTGATAGTTCTTGGGGAGCCTTTTGTTCTTGTTAACCCAAGTGAGAGGCAGGTCAGGAACTTCATTTATATTGATCCACAGATAACCCCTTCCCCCAAGCCTTGTCTGTCTGCTTCTGTGCTGAGTTCTACACTGACAAAGCTGGGGTTGGGTGTCGAGAGGTAAAAAAAAATTCACACATGATGTGGATTGAAGGGTAGAGTTGGGGCTTGTGACCCTCGGAGGAGGAAGAGAGTTTATGGGGAGGGTAATTTGGGAGTCTCCTGGTGAGGAAATACTCAAGAGCCTTGAACTCCTTCAGCTCTGGCTGTATCCTGGAGGTGTGGCTGGAAGAGGGATGGAAACTCTTACCTTTGTCCCCATCTGCGAATGGTAGATATGCCTACTCTGGAGGGTTGTTCTGTCTCTGCACAGCCCCCCGAGCTGGACTTGAGTTGATCTCTGGGGCTCTCACTTCCCCTTTCCTCCTGAGGAATTCTTGGTGTCTATATCCAGACGGTAGTTATCCCCGGAGAGGCAGGGTATCTGTCAGAGAACACCAGGCGGGAGGGGAGTTCGAACTAGAACTAGAATCCAGCGTGAATACTCCTAATTTAGCTCTCTCCTTGCCGCCCCTGACTGCCCCCTCCTGGCCGACTCACCTTCCCTCAAACCAGAGATGACTGACGAGAGAGGACGGGCAGAGACAGGAGCACGAGTTATTGGGTTTCAACAGGGGCCTGGAGACGCTGATGGGTTCGCGAGAGGTCTCTTAGTTACTACGTTTATCTATTTTGGAAGGCCCCACAGAGCCCCCTCCACGTCCCAGGCTGTGCTCCAGCTGGATAAAGTCAATGCGTATTTGAAATGGAGTAAGGAGTACGTTTGTCTTAACTCAGACTCTCAATTCAGCGAAGTGAAAGTTCTCTCCCAGGTTAAAGGGAAGCCTCCGACAGCGTTCCAGGAGTTGGCAGCACTGGGAGCCTGGCTGCGGGCCTGCGCCTTTAAGGAGCCAGGGGGCGGAGGGGCGGGGCAGGAAGCGGGCTCCCGGGAGGTGCAGCCACCGGCTAGGTCTTTTTTGGGAAGGGGTGGGGCAGTCCTCTTATGGGCCCCCTGCGGGCTTTCGACCCCCCCCCCCCGTTGGTGTTGCTTATCGGGCGGGGAAGGGGAAGGAGTCCGGGGTTGTCCTAGAGACTGGGTTTGGGGAGCTCCCTACTCAGCGTCCCGCCTACAAAGGCTGAAGTTTGTTGACTTGGAGGGAGTAGCTGGGGCGGGGGCGGGTGCTAATAATACCCGTCCCTTCAGCCGCTGCACTTTACAGTTTACACAGCTGTCACCTTTGGTACTCCTTAATTAATAATAAAAATAGCCGCCGTTCGGGAGCGTCTAGTGGATGCCAGACCCTGTGCCGAGAGCTTTACAAGCAGAGATCCTGTGCCGAGAATCTGCCCTCATAACATTAACCCCATTTTACAGAGCGGGAAGGGGAGGCTCAGATTGGTGCAGTGACTTGCTCGAGGTCACAAGGCGGGTCAGCGGCTCCAGGATCCGGACGCTGGGCCCGGAGAGGCGGGGCGCGGGTGCTACCCCGGGCTCTGCTGAGAGCCGCGGGGGCGGAGCGGCGGGCGGGGCGGGAGCCGAGGGGGGGCGGTGTGCGGCGGCAGAGGATGGCCATCTTAAGTGGCCGCTGAGAGACTAGGGCCGCTTCCCTCGGGAAGGGGGCATCGAGCAGCCCAGGAGGTGAGGGTCTGCGTGCGGCGGCCGCGGCTCTGGGGAGAGGTTGGGAGCCCATGGGCCTGAGGGAACTTTCTCCAAGACGGGCAAGAGGAGGCCTGGTCTCGGACTGTGAACCCCTCAAGGCTCGGGCCTGCGGGTATGGTGGATGGTGCCAGCGAACTTGGCTGAGAAGGGGGAAGGGCTCTGCCCAGGCTGAGAGGGGCTACCAGGGACGGTACATGGGGTTTTGAGGACACCGGACGTCGTCTGGGGGTTTGTGGGGGATCGGATCTCTGTGGAGGGGATCGCCTCACGGGATCTGTAGGGGGCTGAACCCAGTGGAGTTTGGGGTTCAGGTCTAAAGGAGGCAGGATTTCATGGGAGTTGGGGGTCGGGGCTGCTTGGATGATGGGGAGAGGGATGGGAGGAAGTTCATCGTGGGGTCCTTCTTGGGTTTTGGGAACTCGATTCTGCAAGGCTATAGGAGAGACCGAATGAAAAGGATTGGGGATGGAATCAGACGTCTATAGGAGTTAGGGGTCATAGTGCGATCATTGAAGGAAACTCGTTCTCAGGGAATGGGGATTCCCTGAATTGTTGGGGCGCGAGATGAGGAGATTTAGGCGTCTCTAGGGGTATTGGCTGGAGCTCATCTGGGTGCTGATGGCGGGGTAGGATCCTTGTGGGACTTGGAGAGTCCGGAGTCCGGCGGGAATGCGGGGGGGAGGGGGCATCAACACCGCGGGGAAGAGCTTGGGGCAGGGGCGGTCGGGGCGGTGGGCCAAGCGGAGGGGGAGGAGGCCGAGGCAGGCAGCCAGCTCTGCGCTCCGCTCCTGCCCCTCCCCCGCCGCCTCTGAACAAACTTTTCTTTCTCTTCAAGTTGAGGCCGGCGCTGCAGGCGGCGACGGCTGCACGGCAAACTAGGCGGGCTGCGCAGCGGAGAGCGGTGCCCGGATCCCCCCACTGGGCCCGGTCGTCGATCCTCAGGCCCACGGCCCGGGCCCAGCCCCAGCCCCAGCCCCAGCCCCAGCCCCAGCCCCTGCCCCTGCCCCTGCCCCTTGCGGGCCGGGGTATGGCGCGGGGCGGTGGGCGCGGGCGGCGCTAAGCCCTGAGCCGGCCATGGCCTCTGCTTGCGGGGCGCTGGGGCCGGGGGGAGCGCTGGGCAGCCCGGCCCCTGCGTGGTACCACCGAGACCTGAGCCGCGCTGCCGCCGAGGAACTGTTGGCCCGGGCAGGCCGCGATGGCAGCTTCCTGGTCAGAGACAGCGAGAGTGTGGCAGGCGCCTTCGCGCTCTGCGTCCTGTGAGTGGCGCTGGGGCTCTGGGCGGGCGGGGGCACAGTCTGGGGTTCCTTGAGTGTACCGGGAGGGCTTGGGACAATGGGACGCCAGCGCCCCCCAGAGTGGGGCCTTGGCTTTATGCTAAAGCGGAGAAAGGATGCTGGGAGCACTTCCTTCCTGCTGTGTGTCTCGGAGGCATTTTCTGGGATGGTGAAGCAGAGTCAGTGCCGTCCTGCTGCCAGGGTGGCTGTAAGCGGGGAGAAGTGCAAGGAGTCTCTGGCAAACCCCCTCAGGCACCGTCCAGGTAGAAGGAGCTGGAGGGGTGAGGATGTGCGTTTCATGGTTGTGTGCAGTGCCCTTTAAACAGACATTGGGTATCTGAGAGGCAGGCATAGTTGGAACTGGGGCCAGAGGGATTGAAGGGATGTGTGAGGATGGTCCGCAGCTCCCTCAGGGGGCCTTGCCGTGCCCCCAGAACTGAGGTTGGGGCTTGCCTGGCTGTGTGGGACTGGGGCTGGGAGGCAGGGTGACGTTGAGGAGAAGAGGGTGAGGCTCTATAGGGCGTGCCATTACTTTATGTATAAATGAGTGTGTGTGCCCTGGCTCCCAGCTGCCCTAACCCTGAGCTGTGGGTGCTGAGTACAGGGCTAGACTTGGCAGCTCTCTGAGGGGGCCTGGTCCTGTGCCTGTACCCATCAGCCATGCATAGCGGGGTTTTGGGGTGAATTTGCCCTTTGAGTTTTAGAATCTCCCTGAGTTGCTCCGCACACCACTCATTCTGACACTGGCTGGGCTCCTGGGGCCTCGGGAGTGGGAGGTGGTGAGTGGGAAGCCACAGGGTTTCTTCGTTTATATCTAGTTGTGTTTCTTAGCCCTACGAGCTCTCTCAGACCCCTATCCCTCTGTCCCTTCTCCCTCTGTTCTCTTCACATCTCTGGGGGGTTCATTAGCTTAGGCTAGTGGCTCTCAATTGGGGTTGATTTTATCCCTCAGTGGACATTTGGCAATGTCCAGAGACATTTTTTTGGTTGGTGCCACTGGCATCTAGTGCACAGAAGCCAGGGATGCTGTTGACTATTCTGTAAGCACACGATGGCCCGTCACAATAGAGGATTATGAGGTCCGAAACCTCAATAGTGCCGAGGTTGAGAAACCCTGATGTAGGCAGTGAACCCAAGGCTCAGCCAGGAAGACTAAAGAGGAGCAGCCTAAGCAGATGAATATCCTAGAGCCCTGCCTCCCAGCCCGCTCTGGGACACACCACCTAATAGGGAAGAGAGGGAGGCAGGTGTTGGGTCAGCTGTTGAGTGGGAGGGGGACAGCTGGGCCTGTGTCTGGGTGAAGAACAGTTATTATCGCAGGAGGGGAAGAATCCCGGCTCCATCACCAGGAGAGGAGATGGGTGGGGTGAGGGTCTCTGGGGGGTACTTCAGCTTTGCCAGCTGACTCTGGCTACTCCTTGCATTTCAGAAGCCCAGGAGTGGGCAGTCAGGACCGCACTTGCTAACCTGTGCACACACCCACATTTCTGTCCTGGCTTTAAACTTTGTTGTTTACTTGCTTTGTGACTTTAGGTGAATCACTTTTCATTTGTGAGCCTTAGTTTCCTTTTCTCTACCTCAAAAGGTGAAGATTAAGTGAGGTCACATCCATACTAAGCACTTGTCCTATCACAGAGACAGGGCTCAGTTAATGGGATGCTGCTATTGTTAGAACAGAGGCCCACAGTCCACAAACCAACATACCCAGTCACACACAGATACTTGCATGGCTTCTGTCTGGTTGGCAGCCAGAAGAGCCCTCAGAGGGGGCCTACTTGAGGAGAAGGGATAGCCCTGTGGCCAACATGTGGGGTCTTCTCAAACAGGCATTTGGTCCTCTTTGGTGCTGACACCCACTCCTCCCAATACACACAGCCTGGCTGACTCCCTCAGGCAAGCTTGCTCCGAGGTGTGGCTACAGAGAGTCTTTCAGCCCCACTGAGTATGGCCTGCGCCACCCAGGCCTGGCTCAGCTGTCACCTGCTCAGCTGTTGCTGCCATCTGTCAGCACCTCTCTTGCCCCTCAGTTTGGGGCTCCTAGAGGCCTGGGTCTACCATAGGAGGCCCGTTAGGTGATCCCAATTTCTTGGTGTTTAGGAAAGGGGGTAGAAATCCTTAGGATGATTCCCCTACACTCTCCAGTGACACTGCCCCAGACACAGCCAACTTCAGCAAAGCTAGACACCAACATAAACACAGACAGCAGGCACATGTGTGTTAGCACATCACCCATGCATGCAAACAGTGGTTACCCAGGCTTCTGAGGACTCTTAATCTGGCGGGGGGCCCAGACTGGTACCAGAGCCCAGAGGGGCTGTTTAGACAGCTGTGGAGGCCACAAAAGAGCTGCCTGTTGCTTGTGGAGACTGTGTAGGTCTGGGAGGGGGGGTGGGGATTCTTGCTTGTTGGTGACACTAGCAGGACGGAGGTGGACTAGCCCCATCATTAACCCTATGTAGCCTGAGGAAATGGTTTTAGGGAAGCCAAGCTGAAAGGGCAGGGGGCTGATCCCAGGGGCAAGAGGAGAAGGTACTTTGGGGCTTAGATGCTAGCCTGGGAGTGACAGATTCTGACGTCTGCCTTGCTGTCAGGTATCAGAAACATGTGCACACCTATCGAATTCTACCTGATGGGGAGGACTTCCTGGCTGTGCAGGTAGGAGCTTGGACCCTGACTCCTGACTTTGATTCCAGCCAGTGACTTGGGATTGGCTGGCTGACCCTTCTCCCACCCTTGGTGGCCCTAGACCTCGCAGGGTGTGCCTGTGCGCCGCTTCCAGACCCTGGGCGAGCTCATTGGCCTGTACGCCCAGCCCAACCAGGGCCTCGTGTGTGCCCTGCTGCTGCCCGTGGAGCGGGAGCGAGAGCCAGACCCACCAGATGACCGCGATGCCTCAGGTGCCACACGGAGTGCAGTGTGCAGTCCCTTCCCTACCCCATGCTCAAATCCTACCTGCTTCTTCCCATCCCATTTTTTCAACCTGCCTTCCCCAGAGCCACGATGCCAGGGCCCTTTCCCCCACTTTCCATGGGAGCTTGTGATCACCACGGCATTCCCCCATACTTCACTGAGGGTGGCAGGCCCAAATAGATGCCCCACTGACCCCTGTCCACAGATGGGGAGGATGAGAAGCCCCCGCTGCCCCCACGCTCTGGCTCTACCACCATTTGTGCCTCTGTGGGGCCCAGCAGCCCCCAACCAGCCCCTGAGACCCCCGCAACTCCAGCTGCTGAGAGGTAAGATGCCAGCCCCCTGCACTGAGTAGGAAGTCCCTTACTCCTCTGAGAACTGTGTCCCCACCCACTTCTGGGGCCCTTCTCCCATCTCGGCCCCAGAGACAGACACCCTGATCCGTGGCACTCTGGTCGTCGCCAGCACTGCCTCCTCTGGGGGTAGGATTAGGGGTGCCGAGACAAGGCCAGCAAGGCTTCTACTGACTTCTTGACCCCTCCCCAAAGTGCTCCCAATGGGCTGAGCACTGTCTCACACGAGTACCTGAAGGGCAGCTACGGGCTGGACCTGGAGGCTGTTCGGAGCGGAGCCAGCAACCTGCCCCACCTCACCCGCACTCTCGCCACCTCATGCCGGAGGCTGCACAGGTACCTGGGACGTCTGATACCATGCACTGCACCCTTCCCTCTGACCTTTCCTCACCGGCTGCCCCTAGCTGCACGGATACCTGGACCTCTGACCTCTGGTGCTGAACAGGCAACCAGTCATTACCTCCTGACTTTTCCTCACCTGAACCCTTGTGTCCTCATGGTAGAGGCTGAAGCCCCCCTTCCCTGTAACTGGATTGAGGTGGGGAGTTCTTCTGACCTGATGTCTCCCCCCTAGTGAGGTGGATAAGGTCCTGTCTGGCCTGGAAATTCTGTCCAAGGTGTTTGACCAACAGAGCTCGCCCATGGTGACCCGCCTTTTGCAGCAGCAGGTGGGAGTGGAGGGACATCTTTGGGGAATGGGTTCATGTTCTGGGGCTGAGTTGGGGACCCTCTTTATGGTGGTGTCATGTACAAGCCTTATTCTTTCTCACTGTAGAACCCACCACAGACTGGGGAACAGGAACTGGAGAGCCTGGTGCTGAAGCTCTCCGTGTTAAAGGACTTCCTGTCAGGCATCCAGAAGAAGGTGACTTGACCTCTGCCCCCTCACCTACCAGTCCCTGACCACTCGCATTGACCCACCTGATCTCAGCCCTGAATCTTTAGTACTGACCTCACCTCAATCGTGCCCCTCCTAGCTGCTGCCTTCTGACCTTGTCCCTTGCCCTCCCTTGTTCCCTGACCTTGCCCTGCCCTTTTCCTCCAGGCCCTGAAGGCCCTACAGGACATAAGTTCCACAGCACCCCCGGCTCCGCTGCAGCCATGCACACGTAAGGCCAAGACCATCCCTGTGCAAGCTTTTGAGGTACATGGCAGGGGGGCACCAGTCGGGGCCTCATGGCTCAAAGGACAGTTGGAGGTGAAGGGGTTGCTGCCTGTCCCGAGGCCTTTACAGTATTTTCTTACCTCTCGACCTGCAGGTAAAGCTGGATGTGACCTTGGGTGATCTGACCAAGATTGGGAAGTCGCAGAAGTTCACACTGAGCGTGGATGTGGAGGGCGGGCGGCTAGTGTTGCTGCGGAGACAGCGAGACTCGCAGGAGGACTGGACAACCTTCACGCATGACCGCAGTAAGCCAGGGCCTGACCTGGGAGGGGTGGGCAGGGCCTCAGAACACAAACCAGTATGGCCCATTCTCCATCTCCTAGTTCGCCAGCTCATTAAGTCTCAGCGTGTCCAGAACAAGCTGGGCGTTGTGTTTGAGAAGGAGAAAGACCGGACACAGCGCAAGGACTTCATCTTCGTCAGTGCCCGGGTGAGCAGCAGATTGGGCCACACCACTGGGGACGGCAGGAGACCTCACAGGATGGGAACAGAAAGGACACGTGATGCAGGCGTGTCACAAGTTGGGTCTGACAGGGCAGAGAGTGTGTGTGGGAGAGTGGGTGGCCTGAGGGTAGATTTAAATACTCATTCGATGAGTATTACTAAGCACGAGTTCTATAGTGGCAAACCAGACAGGCATGATCCCTCCCTCCATGGTACCTGCTATCTACCTAGAAGGGTAACCCTGGAGTGGGGGTTCCCTGGCTGCTCACCTGCCTCTGACTGGCTGCTGTCCCACCAGAAGCGGGAGGCCTTCTGCCAGCTGCTGCAGCTCATGAAGAACAAGCACTCAAAGCAGGATGAGCCTGACATGATCTCTGTCTTCATAGGCACCTGGAACATGGGTGAGGCCTGGGGGCGGGGGCCGAGGTGGGAGGGGGAAGTGGCCCCAGAGCAGGGGCCTGACAGCTCCCCATCCCCTCCACCTCCAGGAAGTGTGCCACCTCCGAAAAATGTGACATCTTGGTTCACATCGAAGGGATTGGGGAAGACCCTGGATGAGGTCACAGTGGCCATACCCCATGACATCTATGTTTTTGGGACCCAGGAGAACTCGGTGGGTGACCGAGAATGGCTGGACCTGCTACGCGGGGGCCTCAAGGAGCTCACAGATCTGGACTACCGCCCGGTGAGGGGGGTCATCTTATCCTGTCCCCTCTCCTCACACACCACACCACCCCAAACTACCCTCCTTGACATTATGGTGTCCCTGGGGAACACAACTAGCTGTTCTTCTGGTCCATGGGACTGTCCTTTAGGAGAAGTAACCTGAGTCCTTCATGCCACGGGAGGGTGTTTCTCTTTGGCTCCTCAGAAAAAAGATAGCAGGTCTTCCTGTCCTGTGCCTGCTAGAACAGTGTGCTGTGTGGGCTGGTGGGGAGGGCTTGCCAACAGTGGCTGAGCTCTGGACAGAGGGGACTCTGTGCCCGCCCCCCAGATTGCCATGCAGTCGCTGTGGAACATCAAGGTGGCTGTGCTGGTTAAGCCAGAGCACGAGAACCGCATCAGTCACGTCAGCACATCCAGCGTGAAGACTGGGATTGCCAACACCCTGGGTGAGCAGAGTGGGCGGGGTCCCACTGCCCACACCTTCTGCTTCCGCTATAGCCCAGTATCTCCCCATTCTGTGTGGTCTCAACTTTTCTCTATGTAGAACTCTTTGAACTTCATAAAGTGTGTTCATGCTCTAAATCTCTTCTGTCCCCATCGGGAAGGCAGGCCAGGATAATGACCTCCATTTCATAGACGATAAAACTCAGGCCCAGAGTGACCTGTCCCAAGTCACAGCTAGTACTTGATGAAGCCTGGCATGGTACCCAGGTATATCGGTTTGCAGTCCAGAGCTCCTCCAGGGTGAAATCTGCCCGGAATCTGTAGGATCACCCTTGGGATTCCTGTATCTGCAGGGATTCTGCTCACACATGCAGACAGACTCGGGCTGTCCAGATAGACTGTGCCCCGTGGGGGTCCCCAGGGAAGGTGTGGATGCGTGTTGAGGGGCTTGCCTGTTTTCTAGCACGGGGGCGGGGGTAGAGGACTTGGGAGAACCTTCCCACTGCTGCTTCAATGGGCAGAAGGGAGAGCTGGGAGCTCTTTGAAGGTGACTTGGGCCTTTTTTCTTGTCCTGACAGGAAACAAGGGGGCTGTGGGTGTCTCGTTCATGTTCAATGGCACTTCATTTGGCTTTGTGAATTGCCACCTCACCTCGGGAAATGAGAAGACTGCCCGGTGAGGGGATACCTTCTGAAAGTCTCTTCACCCTCATCCCTGTTCACCGGAGAGCTATTCCCTTTCCCGTAGCCTAGTCCATGGCCCACTTATATCCCTATCTCCAGAGACTCCGTCTGCCCTATCCTAACTCAAGGCCCCTCTGTCTATCCTTGACCTTCCTCTGTCCAGGCGGAACCAGAACTACCTGGACATTCTCCGGCTGCTCTCTCTGGGCGACCGCCAGCTCAATGCCTTTGACATCTCTCTGCGTTTCACTCACCTCTTCTGGTTTGGGGATCTCAACTACCGCCTGGATATGGATATCCAGGTGCAGGCAGGACCCGGAGGGTGGCCGGTAGGGTGTCTGGACGGGGGGTCAGGTGGGCTCTCACCTCTGGCTCTGGCTCAGGGGAAAGTCTCCAGCCTTTGCATCCCCACCCCAGGAGATCCTGAATTACATCAGCAGGAAGGAGTTTGAGCCCCTGCTCCGGGTAGACCAGCTCAACTTGGAGCGGGAAAAGCACAAGGTCTTCCTTCGATTCAGTGAGTGTGGGCCCAGTAGGAAGGCTGAGGGCCAGAGATGTCATATCCCTGAGCCCTCACCCCTCCCTGACCCCAACCTGGCCCCCGCCTTCTCTAGGTGAGGAGGAGATCTCCTTCCCGCCCACCTACCGCTACGAGCGGGGTTCCCGGGACACTTACGCTTGGCACAAGCAGAAACCAACTGGGGTGAGTGAGGACAACAGGGAGTCTTAGGAGACTTTGAGGGCTGCGGTGAATCGAGAGTGTTTGTGGAACCCTGGCTGTGTGGCTCAGTGGACTGAGTGGCAGCCTGCGAACCAAAGGGTCACTGATTTGATTCTCAGTCAGGGCCCTGACTCAGTTGCAGGCCAGGCCCCCAGTTGGGTGCATGCAAAAGGCAGCCAGTTGATGTTACTCTTGCTCATTGATGTTTCATTTTCTCTTTTTCTTCCTCCCTTCCCCTCTCTCTGAAAATAAGTAAAACCTTTTTTAAAAAATAAGATTTGGCCCTGGCTGGTGTAGCTCAGTGGACTGAGCACGGGCCTGTGAACCAGACAATCGCGGTTTGATTCCCAGTCAGGGCACATGCCTGGGTTGCAGGCCAGTTCCCTGCAGGCCAGTTCTGTGCAGGATATGCACTAGAGGCAACCATACATTGATGTTTCTCTCCCTCTCTCCTTCCCCTCTAAAGATAAATAAATAAAATCTTAAAAAAAAATAAGATTTGTTTATGGGGTCAAGGGTGTAGACCTCTGTAGTTATCCCTCCAGTGCCTGTGACCCCTCTGAGGCTGTAGGGGCGACACTTGGTGCTGTGAGGACCCAAGGGAAAAGGCCTGGGGCCACGTTGGCGGGGGGGGGGGGGTGCGAGAGGCTTGCACCGGGCAAACCTCAGCTGTCGGCCCTGACCATGCTGCCTTCGTCCCAGGTCCGGACCAACGTGCCTTCATGGTGTGACCGGATTCTCTGGAAATCCTACCCTGAGACCCACATCATCTGCAATTCCTACGGTCAGAGCCACACAGACAGGGTGATGGGCGATCCCGGGTGGCCACTGTCCTGACTCTGCTCCAGCTTTGAGGGGAGCACCGGGTGAAGAGCTTTCCCCTGAGCCCCTGTACCTATCCCCCTCCCTAGGTTGCACCGACGATATTGTCACCAGTGACCACTCCCCTGTGTTTGGGACATTTGAAGTTGGAGTAACCTCTCAGTTCATCTCCAAGAAAGGTGACTGTTCTGGATGTGCTTGTGGATGTGGTGTACATCTGGGTAGGCACAGGTGGGGGCCGGGGATATGCATGGGTTTGAACATACGTGTGCATGTACACATACATGCAGGAACGATTCTGAAGAAGATTTTGAGGGTGTCTGTGTGCCTGGGTTGTTGTAAGAAGTACATGCCCATGAGCGTGTGTATGTGTGTTCGTGTCTGCCTGGAGCCACGTGTGTGCCCCTGCATGTGCCTGGTGGGGTGCATTATTGGCAGGCAATCCCCGAGGCATTCTGGCCCCCAGCGCCTTTTTCGATGGCCTCTCATCCTCGGGTGGTCTGCCTGCCCCTGTCCAGGGCCTGGGCTTTGGCGTTTCCCTCCTGGTTCCCTGGGACTAGGGGGGCCGCTCCTGGCCTTCCCTCCTGCTCTGCCAGGGCCCCTGACTTCCTGTCCCCGGGCCCAGTCTCTCTGTCCTGCTCCTCCTGTCACCCTCTCAGCCCTCCTGTCTGCCTTCCTCCCTCTCCCCCTCAGGGCTCTCAAAGACTTCAGACCAGGCCTACATTGAGTTTGAGAGCATTGAGGCCATTGTGAAAACGGCCAGCCGCACCAAGTTCTTCATTGAGTTCTACTCCACCTGCCTGGAAGGTCGGAAGGGGCCTGGGGCTGGAGTGGGCCAAGGGACGGGGGAGGCCAGAGGTATGCAGAGCAGTGAGGCCCCCGGTTAGGGGGAAGGGTACGTGGGAGGTGGCACTCAGCCGGGTGTTTCTCGCCTCCACCCCAGAGTACAAGAAGAGCTTCGAGAATGATGCCCAGAGCAGTGACAACATCAACTTCCTCAAAGTGCAGTGGTCGTCACGCCAGCTGCCCACGGTGAGGCTGCAGGCAGGGCCTGGGCTTGTGGGTGAGGGCAGAGACTGGGGATCGGCAGATGCACGCATGTGCACACCTCAGGGTGGGGATGGGCATGAGTGGAGGGAGGGTGTTTGCTTCATTTGGGGGGGTACGGGACCAGTTTACAGTTCATTCATTTGTTTAATGAATGAATGAGTTGCAATGCCGTTGAGTTCTTTGAAAGGCCCCTGCAGGGTTGTGTCTTCTAGTTAAGGATCTGGGACCTTTCCCGAGGTGGCTGAGTTGAGTGGGAGCGATGATGCACCAGCCTGGGGGTGGGGTGAGTGGTGTCAGGCAGGAGGGGCTGGTGGGGGCTTTGCTCCTCACTGTGCCTCTCCACTCCCCAGCTCAAGCCAATTCTGGCTGACATCGAGTACTTGCAGGACCAGCACCTCCTGCTCACAGTCAAGTCCATGGATGGCTATGAATCCTATGGTGAGGAGTTGGGGGGATACCAAGGAGCACAGGAAGCGAGGTGGGGCCTAGAATGCTTTGGCAGTGTGTTGGTTTGCCCTTCAGGGGAGTGCGTGGTGGCACTCAAGTCCATGATCGGCAGCACAGCCCAGCAGTTCCTGACCTTCCTGTCCCACCGCGGCGAGGAGACAGGCAACATCCGTGGCTCCATGAAGGTGCGGGTGCCCACTGAGCGCCTGGGCACCCGTGAGCGACTTTACGGTAGGGGCTCCATTGGGAGGGGTGTGGGGCCTGACATGAGGTGGTGTGGGCTGGCCCAGGAGGGAAGGACTGGGGTGCGGGGAGGGCATGTTGGAATCCCTGGAATATAATATTTGGGAGTTCTGCAGCCACGACTGGGAGTGGGCCTGCCCTGAGGAGTAGCTGGGAAGGGGCTGGAAGGTCAGTAGGTATCTGGGACCCAGGACCCCGGGTCCCCTCTGAGTCGCCTTTCCCTTTCTCCCCCAGAGTGGATCAGCATTGATAAGGACGAGGCAGGAGCAAAGAGCAAAGCTCCCTCTGTGTCCCGAGGCAGCCAGGAGCCCAGGTGAGCTGGCACTGTATTGGGTGTCATGTTAAGGGATGCTGGGGGCTTTTGGGGAGCCCCTGTATCACCTCTCCTGCCCTGCGCACCCCTAGCAGGTCAGGGAGCCGAAAGCCAGCCCCCACAGAGGCCTCCTGCCCGCTGTCCAAGTTATTTGAAGAAGCTGAGAAACCACCACCAACTGGGAGGCCACCAGCCCCACCTCGAGCTGCTCCCCGGGAGGAGCCCTTGACCCCCAGGTGAGAGAAGAACCCATCATCTCCTTACCCCACTTTACCCATCCCTATGCTTAGCTCAGGGCCCGCCTGGGGACTGTCTGCTGCTTGGGTGCCCTGCCACCCCATGGCTGGAGGTGCCAGGGCCCGGTGCCCGTGGCCACTCTAGCCAGGCTGGCCTCCCTTAGGTGTGGCTCTCTGAGTCATAGTGAGCAGAGTCAGCCTTTCCTCTCAGTTCTGCCCTAAAAGGTAGAATTAGAAATTGTTTCTGCAACAGCTCTCTCCACGTAAACAGAATTAGTGTGAGCCTTCTGAGCAGAGAAGGCACAGGCCTCAGCTCGGGACTTCCGCCTGCGCTTTCAGCGGAGCACCGACCTACAAAGTACGCACCCTGGAAATGGGTTTGCGGTCAAAGGAGTCTGCGGAACGGTTCTTGCTAGATTTTGTTCATAGATATTCCCAGTACTCCTTAGCATCAGCAAAATCTCTGAGCATGTGGACCAGAAGGAAACCCTTTTTCAACTCTGTTGACTTGGTTTTCCAAACTTAACAGGCCAGGAAACTTCTTTTCCATGCAGTGACTATTAATACCCCTGGGGGGCTGGCGTTCTGTGCCTCGGACTTCAGGCAAGTGAGGCTTGCCTTTTAATTACACCCACTTGTCACTTGAACTTCAGTAAACACTCGTAGGTCCAGGGTGGTGCTTTTTCACTCATTGTCAGCTGTTAGCGGATGTCGTGGTTTCATTGCCAGGGTAGTGTAAAACTACCCTGCATTCCTGAGTAAGATGCCTCCTTACATCGGCCTCAGATGCCTCCAGTGGTTTTTCCAAACTGGGCTGGTCATTCTCATTACAGGCCTGTGTTGCCCTGCCTTCTGGCACCTGCTTTCACTGCTTGAAGCACAGGTTTCAAAGTTACAAAGTCAAGAGATCTGAGACTGTCAGCGAGTGAGACGTGGAAGTTTAGGAGTTATTCTTTCAGCTCTTTCTGTTTGCTGATTTTAGAGATAAGGGCAGCAAGGGCCAGAGAAGGAGAGTGCTGTGCTCTAGGTCACGTGCAGGTCCGGGCCTGGGCACCTCGCTCACGGATTCCTAGCTGGGTTTTCCTTCCACAGCACCCACTGCCTTCACTTGGCCTTTCTGTGTCCTTACCTAGTGATCCTGCTCCCCCACCCAGGTTGAAGCCAGAGGGGGCTCCAGAGCCTGAAGGGGTGGCAGCTCCCCCACCCAAGAACAGCTTCAATAACCCTGCCTACTACGTCTTGGAAGGGGTCCCGCACCAGTTGCTGCCACCAGAGCCACCTCCACCTGCCAGGGCCCCTGTCCCATCTGCCACCAAGAACAAGGTGGCCATCACAGTACCTGCTCTACAGCTCGGGCGCCACCGGCCACCCCGTGTGGGAGAGGGGAGCTCGTCTGATGAGGAGTCGGGGGGCACACTGCCCCCTCCAGACTTTCCGCCCCCGCCACTGCCGGACTCAGCCATCTTCCTGCCACCAGGCCTGGACCCTCTGCCAGGGCCAGTGGTCCGGGGCCGAGGTGGGGGTGAGGCCCGTGGCCCACCACCTCCCAAAGCCCATCCAAGACCTCCACTGCCCCCAGGCCCCTCACCCACCAACACTTTCTTGGGGGAGGTAACCAGCGGGGACGATCGCTCCTGCTCGGTGCTGCAGATGGCCAAGACGCTGAGTGAAGTGGACTACGCTCCTGCAGGGCCTGGCCGCTCGGCGCTCCTGCCAGGCCCCCTGGAGCTGCAGCCCCCCAGGGGGCTGCCCTCAGACTACGGCCGGCCTCTCAGCTTCCCACCACCCCGCATCCGAGAGAGTATCCAGGAGGACTTGGCAGAAGAGGTGTGTGCACCGGGGGTGGCTGGCTGTGTGTACTTGAGCTGTGTGCTTGCCCATGGACTGTGGTCCTCTTGTACTCCACCATGCAGCACTCAATGGTGTCCTTTGCCCTGAGCTGGGCACTGGGGAGTTGGGGAACACATGGAGCCCCAGATCTTCCCTGCCTTCCCCATCCCATGACGTGGTAGAATGTGACTGTCCAGTGCTGTGTATATGGGCACCCTCAGTGCTCCCCCTGAAATGCCCTCTTCCCTCAGGCCCCGTGCCCGCAGAGCGGGCGGCCCCCCGGAATGGGTGAGGCAGGCATGGGCGCCTGGCTGCGGGCCATCGGCTTGGAGCGCTATGAGGAGGGCCTGGTGCACAATGGCTGGGATGACCTGGAGTTTCTCAGGTAAGGGTGGGGCTGGCCCCCTGGGGTGTGAGGGGGAGCTATGGGCCCTCTGGACCACCTTGCCCATCTCCCAGTCTCTTACCCCTTCCTGCAGCGACATCACAGAGGAGGACCTGGAGGAGGCTGGAGTGCAGGACCCGGCTCACAAGCGCCTCCTTCTGGACACCCTGCAGCTCAGCAAGTGACAGTGGTGGCACTGAGAAGCTGCGAATTTGGCACCCCTTCCCTCCCCCAATGAAGACACACGTGGCCCCAGAGTTGAAAAGTTATGAGGGGTGGGGCAGTACCTCTCTGCGTATTTATTGGGGATCTGAGTCCCCCGCTGCCCAGTCATTTTGGAATGCCCTAATTAGGACATCCTGACCCTTGTCCTTTACACCCCGGGCACCAGAGATCAGATGCCCTGGTTATTCTGGTGCTTTCCTTTTCTGAACCCCTCTTCTCAGCCTCAGGGGTGCCCGGGGGTCCATTTGGGTACACCTGGGTCCCCACTTTCACCACTGTTTCCTCTGTCTGGCCTGAACCACAGCCAGAGGGGCGCAGCTAGGATTTCTCCCCAACCCTCACTCTGGGGTGTCCATCCGGAAATGAAGGAACAGCCCCAGGACCGGGCTGGGGTTTATTTAAGCTTTTCTCTGTGGGTTTAGGGAGGGTGATCACGTTAATATTATTGGGGCCTGTTGGAGGTGGGGGGGGGGGGTCAATCTCTGCCATAAAGTGCCAGTTTGCATAGTTCTCGCTGTCTCCTGGTCTGTGTGTAGCAGCCTCTGTCGTCTTGCAGGCAGCCAGCCCGTCCCCATCCTGGGAACTCAGAGGGGTTGCCAGCATGATGTCTCCAATAAATTAAGTTTTATTTGGATTGAGCAAAACTCACCTCAATAAATTACAAGTTTTTCAAAGGAAAAGAGCAACAACAACAACAGAAAAATCAGGAGGAAACCCCTCTGTCCCACTGCCCTGGCAGCCCTTCCACTACTCTAAGGGGCTTCCCCTCCGCGCCAGACTCCTTTCCAGGTGGGAGGAAGCAGGGGGGCAAATGGCGGGGTCCTGCAGGCTGCCGGCCTTCCTGGGCGGGCCTGGGGGGGTCGCCAGGGTGGGAACGACCGAGCCTGCTGCTCCTCGAGGGCCCTCCCGTTCAGCGCTGGCAGGGACGGGCAGTTACTCGGTCCCGCTTCCAAAGAAAAACGTGCTGGGAGGGCTTCCGGGCCGCCCTGGGGGAGCGGTTCCCGGCGAGAAGCGCCGCGCAGGGCGGGGGCGGCGAGGACAAGGGTGGCCCTGACTTGGTCTCCAGACCCGGGGTGGGCACACGCGGGGTCAGACACGGCGGGAGGTGGGGAGGGCCGGGCCTTCGGGCCGGCGGCCGGGTGGGGAGGGACCGGTCCGGTCTGGCGGGGGCAGGGGCGTCTCTGGGGCCGAGCCCGGGGCCTCCGGGGTCCAGCGGCTAGAAGAGGTTGGTCTTCAGGGTGGGGCCGGGCTTCCGGTGGAAGGAGGACAGGACCCCGGAGAAGGGCCCGGGCCCCGGCTCCGCCGGCTGCCAGGCCTTAAGCAGCTCCGCCGCCCCCGGCCCGCCGCCCCCGCCGCCCGCCACGCCGGCCCACAGGGGGCCCTTGAGCGGCTGGGGCCCGGGGCCCGGGCCGGGCCCGGAGCCCAGGGCGGCGGGCAGCGGGCTGGGGCTCAGGCGCGGGCTGGCCAGGCCCGGCGCGGAGGGCGGCGGCAGGGACGCGGTGCTGTCGGGCGTGGGGCTGCACGTGGACTCCTTGGAGTCGTCGTCCTCGGACGAGCAGCGCGCCTCGCCCTTTTTGGCGCCCGCCGCGCCCGCCGCACCCTTGGCGCTGGCCGCTCGCTCCTGTTTCCGGAACTTGGCCCGGCGGTTCTGGAACCAAACCTGCGGGCACAGGGGCCGGTGGGCCCGGGGCCGCGAGGCGCCGGTGAGACTCGGTCCGGAAGGGGCCGGGCCAGGGCGGTCGCCGGGCTTCCGAACGCGGCCCCTCTGCCCTCCCCTCTCAGCTCGTTGCCCGCCGCGCTTCTCCCCCGCCACGCGCCCCTTCCTCCAGGTCCTTAGGGTCGGTCTTCCCCTGAGGATCCGCTCCCCCGTGGACCCCGCCGAAGGGGACTCCGCCTCGGCTCTTCTCTTCCCCCACGGTCCTGTCACCCCATTCCCTCCCACGAGAAGCTCCGCAGTGCCCGCCTGGAGTGTCCGGGGGCGGCGGAGAGCGGCTTAGGGCACCAGGAGAGACCTTTTTTCTCCAGTAAAGGCGGGCCAGCGGACATCGGTACTCAGACTTGTAAGACAGACGCCCGAGACGGGGCTCTCCTCCGCCCTGCGCCCGGCTTTCCAGGCTCTGGAGCTTCTCGCAGCCGCGGGGCTGGGGATGGCACCTGGCTACCCCCGACTCCATCTGGCTGGGCCCTGGGGCCCCCTGCGGCACCCGCTCTGGCCTCCCAAGCACCACTCTGAACGCTCGGCCCTCCCGGGGGCACCGAAGGGAAATCGTGCCTCTGACCAGCTCACTTCCTCCGCGGGCCTCAGGTCTGCCGGTCCTGCTCCCGCGGCTCCTGCCGGCTGCCCGTCCTCTCCTGCCCAACCACTGCCGCCTGCACCTGGCCCCGGACCTACCCGGCGAATCTCCTCTGCCCTCCGCCTGTGACACTCCCCTGTCCCGCAGCCCCACAGGTGCGGGGCAATAACCCCAGCCCTCTTCGAGCACACACTCCCTCCCGTACACGCGCGCAAACACGCACCTGCACGCGAGCCTCAGTGAGGTCGATCTTGAGCGCCAGCTCTTCCCGCGTGTAAATGTCCGGGTAGTGAGTTTCTGCGAAGACGCGCTCCAGCTCCTTGAGCTGAGCGCTCGTGAACGTGGTGCGGATGCGCCGCTGCTTGCGCTTCTCGTGCAGGCCCGACGGTTCCGGGAAGAACTTGTAGGGCACTGCGGGTGTGCGCGGGAGGGGGAGCAACCGGGATGCGAGCGTGAGGGGCCGCGCTCAGCCTGCTGCGTCCTGCCCCTACGGGGATCGCTCTCCATCTCCCGCCCCCGGCCTGGCTCCCGGGCCTCGTCCTCTCAGCCTCGGATGGAGAGTCTCCGCTATCCCTTACTGGAGCCGGTAGGGGTGAAGGCGGACAGGGCACAGTGAGATGCAAAAGCAGCGGCGAGGGAACCAGAATCGGACCCTCCCGTCAAGACCGCCGACCTGTCATTGGCCCTCGCCCTGGTCCGTCCACCTTCCGCCAGTCCAGCAACCTGCCCGACCCTCCCATCAGCGTGTCTTTCCCTCAGTGAGTGCCCGCCTCCACCCGGACCGCCTCGGTTCAGGTCCTGCCCTCCCACCCTGGCCTTGGCTGGCGATCAGGTTTCAACAGCTCCCTGTACGCGGTCCTGGGTCCGGCTGGTGACTGATACTCCCCTGCTTGGGGCTACTGCCAGTCCTGCCAGGGGCTCTCCGAGACGTAGGGATGTGGCCCCCTCTATCCCGCCATTTCTCTCCTCCCTAGGCCTCAGTTCCTTAGCGCCATCTCACACCCCAGGCCCTTCCAGGTGTCCCCCTCTCTTCCTCATGGCATCATCCACATCTCTTTCCAACTTGCCCCTTCTGGGCCATTCTCTTGGTGCCCTTTGGGAGTGTCCTCCTTTCTCCCCACCCAGGTTCCTCCATCTTCTCTCTGACTTTCTTCTTCCTTCCAGGCACCCCTTTCTGCGCCCCAACACCCCCAAGCCAGTCCCACCCTTCCGCCTCACTCCCTTCCCATCCCTGTCTCCCATCTACCCTGTCTCAGTCCTCACCGCCCCACAGTCTGTTTCTGACACTGTCTCCCCACCCCTCTCTCCAACCCCCCAGTCAGGTCTCCATATTTCCCAGGGGTCCCCAATATCCTTCATCTTTGTCCCATCTCCCTAGTTCTCCGTCTCCTCCAACCCTTGTCTCCAGGACCACATCCTAGCCCCCTCTTCCCCGTCAGTTTCCATCTTCCTTCGTCCCCATCTCCCGTACTTCCTGTCTGCACCACCTAGTTCTTATCTCCATGTCCCCAGCCCATGCCCCCCCCCCCATGTCCTCACTGTCTCCCAGTGTCCCAATCTCTTCATCTCGGCTCACATCGTTCTGTACCTGTCCCTATCTCCCCACCTTAGAACTCCATTTCTCTGGTGCCTTCTCCCTGTATTCTTTCTCCATCTCCCCGCTCTCCATCTGCCTCGGGCCCAGAGAACTCAATCTCCCCATCCCTGTTCCATATTCTGGCTCCATCCTTCCGGATCTCCTTTCTCCAAATCCAGGTCCTCATCCCACCATCCCTGCCTGCCCCCACCCCCAGGCCCCAGTCTTCTGCTTGGGTCCCTGTTGGCTTCCCAGGAACGAAGGAGACAAGGAGATTGGGTGGGGCAGAGTGGACTGTAATTGGAGGAATGGGGGAGGCTCCATGAGGCTGAGGGTTCAGATGGGGACTTGGATCAAGGGGCCTGGGGGCTTTAGGGGGAGCTTCTGGGTTCTGCAGGACTCTGGCTGGGGCAGTCTCCAGGGGAAACGGCAAAGTGAAAGTGGCTTAATGACCCGGGCACACTTTTCTTCAAGTCATGGACTGGGTTTCAGTAGTGGAAGAGGGTTTGGACACAGGTGGGATGGGCAGGAGGGACCTGATGGTTCTGGGAGTCGAGGAAGGTCTTCATCTGGGCACCTCAGCTGCTGTAAGGGTCTTTGCTGGGGATCAGGCATGCAGTGGGGTGGAGATGACAAGGATGGGGGTTCTGATTAAACTGAGCCTGGAGCATCTTCCAAGGATCTGGGATTGAGAGGTTTGGTGGTCAGTCTTTGCAGGTGGCGACCGGAGGGCCTGGTAAGAGGCCTGCGGCTGAACCAGCTGTCTGTCTCCTTGATTTTGAGAGCGTGGGATAGGGACGTAGTAGCTGGGAAGGGTAAGTGGGTGGGGTTCAGCTCTGCCTGGGGTAACCCTGTCTTACAGGGGGTCTGGGGACCCGGTCGGGCATTGGAGGATTTGGCCAGGACCCCAGGGACGGTGGCGGCTGTAGAGGACTATCTCACCACTTTCCAAGTAGGGAAGGGGCTGGGAGTTCCGCAAGATTTGGAGGGAGAATTGGGCAGGGGCTGGGCTCACCTGCGGAGTAGGGCGCGGGCTGGTGGTCGCGTAGAGCGCCAAGCGCGCAGTTGGAGGAGCCGAGCGCGGGGCAGGGAGGCCCGGCGGCGGGGAAGGCGGGCCGCAGGGGGCTGTATTGGAAGCCGCCGGGCTGGCTGCAGGCGCCGAAGTCGCCGTAGGCGGACGCCTCCATGGCCGCCACGCACGAGTCGTACGAATTGAGGTAGGAGTAGTCCATCGGCCCGGGGGACGAGGACGGGGGCCGGGCCGGGTCGGGGTCGCGGTCCCGGACCAGATGCGGGTCGAGATGGGGGTTCGAACGCCAGACGCCAAGGACCTGCGTCCGGCTCTGAGCGCCCGCGAGCCTGCCCGCCCCGTCGCGGCCGCCTTCCACCTGGACGCGGTGCCAAGTGCAGCCCTGCGCGGCCCGCGCGCCTTTTAACGCGCCGGACCCCGCGGAGGGGGCGGGGCGAGCGGGCGGGGCGGGGCCCGCGAGGCCTAGGCCCCGCCCCCAGCCCCGGACCCCACCTCCCACCCCGAAAGGTCCCCGCCGCCCTCCGATGGCTCCGGAGGTTCAGCGCGGGGCCCCACGACTGGGGTTCCCTGTCGCCCCAGACCAGGCCAGACCTTTGGTGTCCACGCTTCGTGCCGGGCCGGAAGGTCTCGACCCCTTTCCCCCGCTTCCCCACCTGCGGCCCCGCAGAAGGGAGGGGAGAGGGGCCCGGCGGCGCTCACGTGGAGAAGTTAATTCGATTCGTCCCGATAACCGAGTTATTCTGGTCCGGCCCTCGGCCCCGCCCCCAGCAGGGTTACGTCCCCGCGGGGATCGGGGCGGCAGCCCGGTGGTGGGGGATGGAGACGGGGCCGGGGAAGAGACGGGGCCCGGGACGGGGCCGTGGGTGAGGAGAGGCGACAGAGACGGGGACAGAAGAGGAAGGGACGAGGCGGGCGCCGGTGCGCGGGTGGGGACGAGGACGGAGACGAGGACAAGACGCGGACGGGAAAGGGGGACTGCAGACCGGGGCAAAGATGGAGAAGAGGGTGAAACATGGATTTGAGAAAATCGGGGTGGCGACAGCGACAAGGCGGAGACAGAGGGACAGAGGAAGGGAGGGAGGCGGCGTAGAGACGGGGAAGGCGCAAGGACGAGGCATGGACGGAAACCAGGGTTGTGCTGGAGACCAGACAGAACGGGGAGAGTGATGCGGACGCAAACGGAGGACGGTCTCGGAAAACGAGGCCGGGGCCCGACGCGGCGGAGGAGCGGAGGCCGAGGGGCAGGGAGACAGAGCCTGGGGCCGCGGAGGCCCCGCGCTGGGCAGAAGGACTGAGCTGCAGGCGCCCGGCCGGGGTCCCGCTCTCCTTCGGACTTGTCCTAAAGGCATGCGACCTTGTTCTGACTCTTCGGACCCGCGCCGCCTCGCCCCTTCCCAAGCGTCCTGGCTCAGTCCTCCGCCCCGCCGCCATCGGATGGACCCTCTGGTTCCCAGCGCCTACCGCGGAGTGTGCGTGGTGAACGCCAGGACGGGGGGTAACGGGGTGACACCCTTACTCTCCCTCAGCCTCTTACCTCCCTTCTTTCTCCAGAGAATCTTTTCTTCTCCAGGAAAACCACCGCGACTCAGTCTGGACCTGGCCCTCGGGGGACTCAGGCACTGGCATCTACGCTGTGGGACGATGGGACTTAGAGTCCTTTCCAGGAGAACGAAACCGAGAACTCTTCTGCCGCAGCAGCTCACCTGAGCTGGATTGGACAGCTTCCCCGCCCAGTCCCCAGTTTCCTCTGCCGAGATCTTGACTGGTCCTGCAGATGGGGGAGTAGACACCCAGCAAGAAGCCAGGGGAGGGGCACCCTTATTACCGCAGTGCTTGGGAATGGGAAGGGGGCTTCCAGAATACACCCCCCAGTTTACTAGCTCAGTGGGGAGCAGGGCACCCTCAGATCATCCACTTCTTTGGCCACCTATTCTTTGCTTCACAGAAGGACTCCTCCATGCCTCAGGGTTCTTCGAGGTGTTTTCACTGATTACCTTTTTTAGGTCTAAAACTGACAGTAAAACAGCTTCAAAAAGTTCTCCCACAGATGTGAGGTTCACCCCTCTCCCTTGACGCACCCTGTGCAGGGAGCTCTGGAGGGCTGTCTCGGAGTTGGGAAATCAGATGCTGCCCTCCTTCCACCTCCCATGGCTCCCATTGTCCCCAGGATCAAATCCAAGCCTGCACTCTGAATAGTGCCTGGCACATAGTAAACACATAAATAAAGTAGCTACTGCCCCTCACACACACACCTCAACTTGTCCCCATCACCAAGTGACCGAGCCCTGTGAGGCCAGACCCAGAGCACACAGTGGCCAGGCTTCCCTGACCTGTTACATGTGATACTTGAATATGTGATCGGAACACATCACATATTCTCTGCCTGGAAGCTTCACCTCTTCCCTGAAGGTTTCCAAAGCTCTTAGGTCCTATACAGTTGCCCATCCTGACCCCTTAATTTTTGCAGATGAAGACACTGAGGCCCAAAGAGAGGTCCCGTAGGAAGAGTGGAAGTAAAAACAGTGGGCCATGTGTTGGGGTGGGAGTATCCCCCCACCTCATGCCCCCCTCCACGTCCCCGGCCCACACAGAGCAGCAATGCAAAAAGAAACCTTGGGAAGAGTATGGTAAGGACTCTGCTTTTTCTTCTGCTCTGATGCCAGCTCTGACATTGACTTAATCTGTGAGCCTGGATAGTGGAAGCACCCGTGAGAATGGATGAGGAAAGACCCATGTGCTGGAGAGCTCTTCCTGCTTGTGGTCTTTTAAAAAGTGGTAGCCTGGGACCACCACCTTACTTCTACGAGCAGCCCTGTCTTAGCCTTCCTTCAGAACTCTGAGCAAGGATCTCCTGGGCTCAGGGGTGTGGTCACCATGTTGATTTATTAATCTAGCGCACCCCTTGTCAGTCCTTCTGTCCTGCAAGGGGAGAGCATGGAGCCATGGCTTCTCCCCATCACTGAAATGCATCCTCTCACGCTTTGAAGAATGTTTCCAGTGTCATCATTGTACAACTATGATTGGAAGCCAAACTTGATCAGACATCCATGTCTAACTTCTTTTTTAAAAAATATTTTATTTATTTATTTTTGTAGAGAGAGGGAGAGGGAAGGGGAAAGAGAGGGAGAGAAACAGCAATGCATGGTTGCCTCTTGTGCATCCCCCACCAGGACCGGCCTGCAACCCAGGCACGTGCCTGACTGGGAATCTACCAGGTGACCTCTTGGTTCGCAGGCTGCAGGCTGGCACTCAGTCCACTGAGCCACAACAGCCAGGGCCCACATCTAACTTCTATTAAGAGGTGGAGCTTATCTATAGTGAAAAGTTAACACATCGTCTGGTCTTGCTTAAGGACCCTTGAACTTCTCTCAATCCCATCTATCTACCAACTTCATAAGCAGAATACCACACCTCCACCCCCCACTCCTATTCTCAGATCCCTATTCTTTCCTGCTAGGACCTTCTGGTCTAAGGTGGCTTGGAGGCAAGCATGTTAACTGTATATTCTCTCAACCTGTTTATCAGGACCCATAGTCTTGTTCTTTCTGTTCCTGGAACAACATCTGTTGACCTTTTTTTCTTCCCTCTAATACCTTAGGTTACCCAGCCTTCAACTAATCTTGATTTTTGTTTTTAGCTTCTAATTTTAGGGCTCTCCAGGACCAAAAATGTTCAGCCCTCAGGGATCCCTGAAGAATGAGGAAAGACCTTCATTTGGCTGTACAATTATTTTTTGAATGTCTGATCTGTGACGGAACTTCATGGGGCACTGGTTGCACGGGGATACATGGGTGCTTTCTTTAAGGGTCTCCCAATCCAGTGAGCACACGGGCTCTCATCTATAGGGAGGGTCTGTCCAGAATGTTTCAGTTGTCTGGTAAAGAGAATGGCATCTAGGAAGCAAGGTGAGCTTACTCCTTTATAAAAAAAAAAACAGAGGGGGGAAGGTTTGACCCTGCTGACCATATCATACATTGGCTAGCTTGTTCAAGTTATTGTATGTGGGAAGAGACCTGCCTACGGGCTGCCAGAGTGGACATCTATGGTGTGGCCAGCCCAGCACAACTTTTCTGTTGGGAACTGTCTCCTCCGTCCACACAGCTACCCAGGGAGCCATTGTTCTCACATAAGCCTACCCTCGGCTCCAACTGTCCACGTGTGAGTGAGTACCTGTGCAAAGACAGACCAATAAAATCCTTAGTAAATTTTTTCTTACTCAAATTGAGGAACAAGTTATTCTCTTTGGAATGGTGAAAACTATAAGTGTAAAATTCAGGAAAAGTTTGCAACCATGTCCCCTGTCATTAAAAGACGGGAGGTTGTCTGTAATGAAGAAAAATAATGAGTACAATGTTGAGGCAGAAGATATAGAGACTCATGTTAAAATTTAAGAGCCACTTTAAATTATCCCTTAGACATTCTTTTTTTTAATTTAAGATTTTATTGATTTATTTTTAGAGAGAGGGGAAGGGAGGGAGAAAGAGAGGGGGAGAAACATCAATGTGTGGTTGCCTCCTGCATGCCTCCTACTGAGGACATGGCCTGCAACCCAGGCATGTGCCCTGACTGGGAATTGAATCAGTGACCCTTTGGTTCACAGGCTGACACTCAATCTACTGAGCCACATCAGTCAGGGCTAGACATTCTTATTCTTTTTACAAATCAGTTGTTAATCCCTTTAACAGATTTTGTGATCCAATACATTTTTCTTCTTTTTTTGAAGTTTATTCTAATTGTATTTTTCCAATACAGTTTTTCTTTATGTTTAATTGACTTCAAGTTGGATTTCTGTTACTTCCAAACAAAGAGATTCAAATAAAAAATTGGTATAAGGTACATAGTCATGCAAATGACAGACCCTAAAATATGGAACTGGCCCTGATGGATGTAGCGTGGGGTGCAGTGAGACTCTGTCCTTTCTGAGCCTGGAAATGAAGTGTCCTTGTTAGGAAATAATGAAGTAGCTGGGAATACTACTGCATGTTGTCTCTTAGAACTTGACCTCAACTTTCCCCCTTGCCCTCTAGTTGCAACTTCACAAGTTCAAAGAGAAAAATGGTAAAATATTGGAGTACACTGTCCACATTCGGCAGCCTCAGGAAAGTGCTTCCAGGCGGGGATGAGCGGACGAGGAGCGGCATGCCGATTTGCACGTGACTCTGGTAAGGAAATCTCTGCCTATGGCTGGCAATCTGAAGTTGCAATAGGAGGATAGTAATCATATGCTTTGCGGCCACAGCCAAGTTCTCTGCCACATCCTACAGTGAATGCATTGATTAGGAAATAGTGAGTGTCTGACAGGTGAAATGAAATTTGGGAAGATCTAGAGGAGTTAGGGAAGTGTGAATCTCCCTGTCTTTCTTGGCAGCCAGGCCTGACAGCAACCAAAAGTTGACATTGACCATATTTTGCTGTGTATAATGTACACCTTCAGTTTTGTGCACTTTATACAGGGGATTATTATACCCACTTTAAAAAAATACTTCTTTTAGCCCTGGCTGGTGTAGCTGAGTGTACTGAGCATTGGCCTGTGAACCAAAGGGTTACTGGTTCAATTCCCGGTCAGAGCACATGCCTGGGTTGCTGGCCAGGACCCCAGTTGGGGGTGTGCAAGAGGCAACCAGTTGGTGTTTCTCTTCCTCTCTTTCTCCCTCCCTCCCCTCTCTCTAAAAATAAATAAATAAAAATTAAAAAAATCTAAAATATTTTTTATTGTTGTTCAAATACAGTTGTCTCCATTTGCCCCACCACTCCCCCACAACCCCAGTCATCCCAACCTCCCACCTCAATCCTTCCCTTCTTTGGCTTTGTCCAGGTATCTTTTTTAAAAAAAAAACTTATTTATTTATTTTTAGAGGGGAAGAGAGGGAGAAAGAGAGGGAGAGAAACATCAGTGTATGGTTGCCTCTCACATGCCCTGTACTGGGGACCTGGCCTGCAACCCAGGCATGTGCCCTGACTTAGAATTGAACCAGTGACCCTGTGGTTCACAGGCAGGGGCTCAACCCACTGAGCTACACCAGCCAGGGCCCATGTGTCCTTTATGCATGTTTCTTGACAATCCTTCCCTTATTTTCCCACAATATACCCTCCTACCTCCCCTATGGTTACTGTCAGTTTGTTCTTAATTTCAATGTGTCTGGATTATTTTGCTTGTTTGTTTGTTTTGTTGATTAGGTTCCACTTATAGGTGACATCATACAGTATTTGTCTTTCACCACCTGGCTTATTTCACTGAGCAATAATGCTCTCCGTTTCCATCCATGTTGCTGAAAAGGGTAGGGGCTCCTTCTGTCTTTCTGCTGCACAGAAAGACATTCCATCATGTCAATGGACCATAGTTTTTTGATCCATTCATTTACTGATGGGCGCTTTGGTTGTTTCTAGCATTGGCTATTGTAAATTATGCTGCTATGAACGCTGGAATGCATAGGTTCTTTTGAATTGGTGTTTCAGGGTTCTTAGGGTATAATCCCAGCAGTGGTATTGTCTGGGTCAAAAGGCAGTTTCATTTTTAGTTTTCTGAGGAAATCCCACACTGTTTTCCACAGTGGCTGCAGAAGTTTACATTCCCACCAACAGTGCAGTAGGGTTCCCTTTCCTCCACAACCCCTCAACACTTGTTTATTTGGTTTACTATCCCCATTGTTATACACATGGTATGTAATCATTATACCCATGTATAGTGCACATCTTATTTTTCCCTCAAAATTTTTGGCAAAAAGTGTGCATCATACATGCAAAATATGGTATTCTTCTCCTTTTGGTATCTGGCGTCTGAAGCTACTTTCTGAGTTAGGGGAATTCCCCACGTGATAGATACCGGAAATCTGCATTTTGAACTTCCCTCAC